TTTTGCTGGCTTTGTATGACAGTTGTTTCCGCTTGTGCTGTACCCTTCCGTTTCTGAGGATCTTTTGGCAGTCGCCGGAACATGTCGGAACCGCTCCCAGATGGAACCTTACACCTTTCTCTCCTGTTCAGCTTCCGAGCCGGCGCGCTTTCAAACTCAAAATTCAAAACTCTTTCCTAGAACAACAGAGGGAGTTGTTCGGTCCTTCCACATATTGAGAACCTGGCTGCTTTGGCCACAGTCACAGAAAACTTCAAAGTCGACAACTCCTAGACTCCTAGAAACGCCGAGAATACCGTCAAACCGCACATATCATAGAAGCTGAATGCTAAGCAGGCACCCCTGCACACTTCCAATCGCCCGGCACGCCGGCAGCGCTTTTGCAGATGCAAGGCGCACGTGCAGGGTGCGGTGTACTGGCCCCTGGGTCAAGCATTTGAGCTTACTGCTTGCTGCAGCATGGAACAGCGAGATATTCCTGCTTGCAAGTGCCAGCAGATCAGCATACATCAGCACAGCCACAATCAACCACATGCTAGTAGTAGCACTACTGTACATTCCAGCGCGAATGTTAGCAATAGTACCGAGTCGTAGTAGTAGACTAAGCAGAAGCAGAAGTAGAGGTAGCAACAGTAGTAGTAGTCGTCGTCGTAGTAGTATTATAAGTAGCACTGTCGGGATTCGAGCTACTCAGACGGACCACTGGTCGTAGTAGTAGTGGCAGTAGTAGTAGTGGTAGTAGTAGTAGGAGTAGGAGTAGTAGTAGTAGTAGTAGTAGTAGTAGTAGTAGTAGTAGTAGTAGTAGTAGTAGTAGTAGTAGTACGTAGTAGTACGTAGTAGTCGTAGTAGTACGTAGTAGTCGTATTGCGTTGCACTCGTCTCGCGAAAGATTCACGTCTGACGTATGGGGGACAGACTTTTGTCCGGCAGCTCAGTGGCTGCGCTGCTCTCTTGGCAGCTCCCTCAAGAGAACTCGGAAGGCCGCTTAGTCCATCTCGTTGAGATTCAACGTCGTAGCAGATCCGATCTGAGCATTCTGAGTCGAGCATTCTGGCTTATAGCTCGAGCTGGAAGTTGCTCACCTGCCTGATGGTGACCAAGGAGGGTTGCCTGCCTCCTAACACAGCTCTTCTTGTGGGATCGTCCAGCTGAGTGCTTGCAGTACGAGCAGCAATAAGTGTGTCTATGAAAAGCCAGAGACATGCACCCAAAGGTTAAGCATGCTGTCATCTCAGAGCGACGTCGCTGCCTATTGCGACGATCGCATCCACGACTATGCTGCCCATTCAAGCATGCACTGCAGCACACTGCTCGTCCCTCCAGAGCCAGTCGATCACAGCCAGTAGAGCAGCAAAGGGCCATGACCTGAGTGGAAACATGTGCAAGCGAAGAGTTGACACTTGCCCATGCATGCGCCAGTGCAGTTGCAGCCGACAGAAGGCTGTGCAAGGGTTTTAGGCCGCGGTATGCCAGGGGAGGACTATGTTATCAGCCTAACAATTGACACACTGTACAGAAAGGGACACACCTTATCAGTGACGTCCCAAGTGTAGTCCAATGCAGCAACAGCCTACTGGTCTATGCCTTCACGCAAAACAGTCGGCAAGCCATCCAGCGAGGGAGGCACAGGTAGCATCTCTCGCCCAGCAGGAAGAACAAACCCTAGGTTCTCCAGCTTAGCTCGGTGAGAAGCAGCTACCGATTCCCACTTATTCACAGTGTAGGCTGTCAGCACCAAGCGTTCCATGCCTGTCCAAGCACATGTGAAATGACGCCGTCTGTGGGCCTGAAATCGGACTGCTTGCATTTGCAATGAGAACCGTCTGCCGCGCAGCCAGCCATTCAGATGCTCGTGGTATTCACTGCCGGTCTCATCCTCTATCCAGACCTCTCCTCCCTCATGAAGAGAGAGGGCCATCAAGAGGCTCGGCTCCGGACCATTCTGTGCATCCAGATGTACCGGCGTCTGAAGATTATAGAGCAGAGCAACCGTGCTCCATTTATGCCATGGGCAGACCCGCAGTACCAAAGCATTGAGGATTCTCGCAGTGTTCGCATGCGTGAGCGTTTGTCGGCAAAGACCTGTAAATTGGTTCTTGCCATAAACAACAAAAGTGACGCTGTATCCCGTATGCAGCTGGGCAGCAAAAGCCTGTCGCGGCAATTCCAGTTCCAGGAGTCTTGCCACTAGCCGCGCCGAATGCCACAGTGTCCCGGCCCCGGATTCAAGCAGGTGCTGTGCCAGTCGCTCAGCTTTGCTGGATTTCCTGAAGTCTTCCCAGGACGGGTGTGGAAACGCCGAGTGTGCCCGCCCACAGCACTGTACATCCAATAAGTCCGCATACTGATGGAGTGCAGCTACCGACGCACCACCAAGATGATGCTGCGCCCATAAGAGCAAATCATTCCATGCCAGCAGGCCTAGTTGAGCTGGCGGTGGGTTGCCTGTCTCCCACACATACAGATTGCAGACTGACTGGAGCAGCAGATGCGACATAAGCATATCCTCATACACATCATCGGGCACTGGGACTATTTCTATGCACCCGGGCTGCATGTTGAGCCAACCTTTCACAGATTGACTGAGGCACAGCGGCAACTTGCAAGGCATCACGTGCAGCCACTGAGGACAGAGCAGAACGCTTGGCAGTGAAGCTCAAACCTGCTACCCCGTCCCTGCTTTAAGCGGCTCGGGCCACCATGCCCTCCTGATTGCATCAAGCTCAGTGCTCAGAGTGAAAATGAGTGACAACGTGAATCATGATTCAGGACGGACTTGCAAAAAGAGCATGCACGAATATTGAGAATATTTTTCGGAACTGCTTCCTCGCCTTGTCTCTTCGGAGAGACGAGGAGACACCGGAGAGGCACTCAACTCATATCACAGGAGTGCTCTCCCTGAATCTCTGGAAACTGCTTTGATAAGGCCTGGACACCAGGTATGCGTTTGTCTGCAGTGTACGTACATCACGCTTCGTGGCAGGTTTGGGAGTCCTATGATCATCACATATGTGAAAACTCCAATCCTGAGAGGTCGGAGCAGTGGGTGGTACGCTAAGGGCAACCTGATAGTGACCAGATCTAACAGTTTCCCCTAAGTGAAAAACCACAAACCCCACCCGGTAGGCTATGGTCTGGACTTACGTAGTAGTCGTAGTAGTCGTAGTAGTAGTAGAAGAAGTACTGGTAGTACTAGTAGTAGTACGTAGCAGTAGCAGTAGCAGTAGCAGTAGCAGTAGCAGTAGCAGTAGCAGTAGCAGTAGCAGTAGCAGTAGTAGTAGTAGTAGTAGTAGTAGTAGTAGTAGTAGAAGTAGTAGTAGTAGTAGTAGTAGTAGTAGTAGTAGTAGTAGCAGTAGTAGTAGTAGTGGTCGTCGTCGTGGTTGTAACATTGTAGGTGTAGTTGTAGCTGTAGCTGTAGTAGTGGTGGTAGTAGTAGTAGTAGTAGTAGTAGCAGTAACAGCAGCAGCAGCAGCCCGAGTGGTAGTAGTAGTAGTAGTAGTAGTAGGTAGTAGGAGTAGGAGTAGGAGTAGGAGTAGGTAGGAGTAGAGTAGAGTAGAGTAGCAGTAGCAGTAGCAGTAGCAGTAGCAGTAGCAGTAGTAGCAGTAGCAGTAGCAGTAGCAGTAGCAGTAGCAGTAGCAGTAGCAGTAGCAGTAGCAGTAGCAGTAGCAGTAGCAGTAGCAGCAGCAGTGGCAGTAGTAGTAGTAGTAGTAGTAGTAGTAGTAGTAGTAGTAGTAGTAGTAGTAGTAGCAGTAGCAGTAGCAGTAGTAGTATAGTAGTAGCAGGTAGTTGTGGCCGTGGCTGCAGCTGCAGGTTGTTGTTGCTTGTTGTTGGTGTTGCTGCGTTTGTTGTTTTTGCCCCTGTAGTCGTTGTCGTCGCTGTTGTTGTTGCGGCTGCTGTTGTGGTCATTGTGGTTGTGGCTGTGGCTGTGGTTGCTGTTGTTATTATTGTGGTGGTGGTGGTGGTGGTGGTGGTGGTGGTGGTGGTGGGCTTGTTGTTGGCGCGATCTTCATGCACACGTGAAGAACCGACACGCCGAGTTCATCGGTATTTACAGTGTTTCCTTTGCTGCATGTGCCGAGTATATCGGTGCAATCGGTTTTCCCAGCGTCGCCCAGACTCCATCCGGCCCAGAAGAGCATGCACACGGCCGTACTCATCACCAGCACTATCACCGTCATCATCATCATCATCGTGATCATGACTGTCCTCCTCATGTTCATCTTTGCTGTTGTTCTCCTCTTCATCGTCAACTTCCTCTTTGTCATCTTCACTCTGCCCAGTTCGCCATAGTTCGGCATTTCGTCTTGCACGAAATGCCTTTCGTCCTACGCACGGAGACCACCTTCGCGATTCCTGGCAGGAACTGGCTTTTGTCCCATGCAGGCCAAGCAAAACCCATTTCACAGCTTCAGTCGATCCGACGAAACTGGACGAAAACCCATCAACAACCAATGAACATGTAATGTCCGCATGAACTGACGTGCCGTTCGTGCCACGCAGGGCGGGCAAGACGCATGTCGCCGTCACCTGGACCCGTGCGTCTTTTTACAAGGGGTTCGAGCGTTGCAGTTGCACTGGTGGTAGTAGTTGTAGTGGTGGTATGTGGTGGTGGTATCATCTTTCTGGTAGCAGCTACTGCTGCAGCTTTTGCTGCTTCTGCTTCTACTGTGTCTACTACTACTGCTGCTGCTACAACAACTACTACTACTACTACTACTACTACTACTACTGCTACTGCACTGTGCCCTGCCACCTGCGCTGCCCTTTTGCTGGTGCTGCTTCGCTTCTTCTGCTAGTGCTGCTGCCACTGGCCCTGCGATTACAGATCACCCCAAACTAGCAAGTCTGCATTCGCAGCTGGCGGGTTTCGCCAGTGCGGAGCCAGTTGAGATCAGTCACAAGATGGTCTAAGTCTTATGCAACATGGTTTCGATGTAACTGTTGGATGCTTAAAGCGGGAGCTGTGGTGTGAACTCCTGCTTCAGGCCATCCCATGGCAGCTCCAGGATCCCGCAATCCCACCACCCCGGCACGAGGCTGTGGCGTGGCTTTGCGACTTCAGGATTTGAGGCTTATGCCTAGTGGGCCTAGCGAGGTCACAGCGTCCATGCCTCCAGATTTTAGTTCCTGAAGTTAGCTTATCTTGTCTTATGTCTCCAGAACACCAGCAAGGGACCACACGAATCAAGCCGCGAGGCACACCCGGCGCAACCGTTCCCCAAACACCGCCTGCTGCCTTCCCTGGTGGTCCTGCAGCAGGCGTGTTGTCAGGGCAGCTAGGGTAGGATGCGTCGTAGTTAAGTTTAAGGAAAGTGTGTTTTTGGAGCGGGGCTTCGGGGTGTGCTTCATATGGTTTTGCATTGTCCCCTTCCATATGGTCATGATGTTGAGAATGGTCATGACCATAATAACCATGGTGAGCAAGAATGACTATGATGTGATGATGAGAATGATGACGGTGGTGATGAAAGATGATGGCTATGATGTGATGATTGCTAGGCTTATGGTCAAGATTTGATAGAGCTGGGGAGGATATGATCAGAATGAGAGCTGATCGCGGTATCACTCGTGCATCATCAGTCGTCCTTGTCGCCTTTGTTCCAGTATTGTAGTGGTTGTCGCAGCTGTGGCAGTGGCAGTGGTGGCGGTGCCCGGTAGTAGTAGCAGTAGTAGTAGTAGTAGTAGTAGCAGTAGCAGTAGTAGTAGTAGTAGTAGTAGTAGTAGTAGTAGTAGTAGTAGTAGTAGTAGTGGTAGCAGTCGTCGTGGTGGTAGTAGTAGTAGTAGTAGTTGTTGTAGCAGTAGCAGTAGGAGTAGCAGTAGCAGAAGCAGTAGCAGAAGCAGTCGCAGTCGCAGTCGTAGTAGTAGTAGTAGTAGTAGTAGTAGTAGTAGTAGTAGTAGTAGTAGTAGTAGTAGTAGTAGTAGTAGTAGTAGTAGTAGTAGTAGGATAGGACTAGGACTAGGACTAGGACTACGACTAGGACTAGGACAAGGACTAGGACAAGGACTAGGACGAGGACGAGGACGAGGACTAGGACTAGGACTAGGACTAGGACTAGGAGTAGTAGTACTAGAAGTAGTAGCAGTAGTGTAGCAGCAGCAGCAGCAGCAGGAGTAGTGGTAGTAGTAGTAGTAGTTGTTGTAGTTGTAGTTGTAGTTGTAGTAGTAGTAGTAGTAGCAGTAATCGTGGTGGTAGTAGTAGTTATTGTAGTAATAGTAGGTGTAGTAGTAGTAGTAGAAGAAGTAGGAGAAGTAGTAGAAGTAGTAGTAGTAGTAGAAGTCGTAGTCGTAGTCGTCGTGGTGGTGGTGGTGGTGGTGGTGGTGGTAGTCGTGGTGGTGGTGGTGGTGGTAGTAGTAGTAGCAGCAGTAGTAGTAGTAGCAGTAGTAGTAGTAGTAGTAGTGGTAGTGGAAGTAGTGGTAGTAGTAGTAGTAGTAGTAGTAGTAGTGGTGGTGGTGGTGGTGGTGGCGGTGGTGGTAGTGTTAGTAGTAGTAGTTGTGGTAGTAGTAGTGGTAGTAGGAGGAGTAGTAGGAGTAGTAGGAGTAGTATAGGAATAGTAGGAGTGAGTGAGCGAGCGAGTGAGTGAGTCAGTAATAGTAGCAGTATGGCATGCACATCGCCTTGCAATCCTGCCTGGGCATAGGCGTAAGCACCACCCAGAGTGTGTATGCCTTGCAACAGCTTTGCAAAGTGCGGCCATACAGCACTCTGACTACAGGGCAGGGCATTTGCAGGCGTGTTTCCTTACATGTCAAGGGCCATCATTACGAACAGATGTCAGGAACGCCTAGTGGTGCCGTTCCCCAGACGCCGGCCGCTGCTTTTCACAAGGCTGCTGCAGGAGCGCTGCCTGCGGTGGGTCTTTGGAGTGTCGCAGGACTTCGCTGGACTTCTTGAGATCGTGCCGTCATGTCACTACCAACAACCCAGCATGCCCCATGCACATGCGGTGTCACGATCTGATGAACAGTCTTGTCCTTTCATGAATCCTGTCAAAACCCCCAAAAAATTTGCTGTGAAGGGTGGCTGCCCGCCTGATTGCCCTAGGTTATGTTCCGTTGCCCCGCCCCCATGTAAAGATCATACCGGTAAGATAACTGTTCAAGACTTGCGGGGTTCTCTGAGCATCATCTACAGCGATCTGAATCTCGCCTTTGATCACATTTGCTGCATCAATATCCTAGAAGCAGTATTCGGGCACAAAGATTGTGAATGCCCGATGAGACAAGAGGCGTGCACCCTACAGTTGGATTAAAAGCAGCTGCGCCAAAACTCAAGAGAGAAAACTCAATTGAGGGCACTCTGCATCAGAGAGGTACTCCGGGCGGGGTTATTCCCCAGACCCCGGCGGCTGCTTTCCATCGGGGCTCTGCTGCAGGAATGCCTGGGTCTGGGGCGTGGACTTTCGGAGCAAAGGTGTCAGGTTGCCTGGGTTGTCGCAGACTGCTTCGCGCAAGTGCGTACTGCAAAGAGATTTGCAAAAGTCGCCTCCCACAGCAAACAAGCCTACATGGTTGTGGAACTAGGGACAAATCACTTACGAAGAAGCGAAGGCAAGACAGAATCTCATGCCGAATTGCGTGTATTCGAGTTCCATCTGGATTTTCCGCCTGCGCACATGCCCGGAAATGCTGAACTATTCACTGTCAATGACTGTCGTGAACGGAATGTGATATGTTGGGCCACATTGACCTGAGCAGCCTCAAGGTCGTAGAAGGAAGGAATTCTGCACAGCAAGAAGTGGCGCAGCTGTTCAGTCATGCAGCAGCGAGGTACTCCGGGCGGGGTTATTCCCCAGACGCCGGCCGCTGCTTTGCAGCGGGGCCCTGCCGCAGGAATTCCTGGGTCAGGGGCGTTCGCTTTTCGGAGGAAAGGCGTCAGGTTCCCCTGGGTTGTCGTGGACTGCTTCGCCCCATTGCACGGCCTGGGTTTGGTGCCTGGGCTTTCCCAAAGGCTAGGCGCGGCTTTTTGCGCAGGAAGCATATTTCCGCTGTGCCTGACTGATTCACACCTTTCCGGATAATTGTTGTGGATGTTGAAGGCATGTAGTCTGAGGTTATCAAGACAGATGACTTCACGTCGGTCTCGTGAGTCTTGTTTTTGATGTTCGCGCGATGCATCGCTTTCAGGCTCGTCTTTCTGATAAGTAGGTTGAGGTGTTCCTAGGCCTAGAGCCTTAGTCAGGCTTCCAGTGCCTTCGTGTCCGATGATGTGGTGATTTTGACTGCCCATCTTTGTGCACAAACGCGATGATATTCAGTGGACTTGCTTAGGGGTACATCGAACGTATCTTCACGGGGGCTGATAGGAGCCGAGACAAGGGACAATGGCACAAAGTTGGCTCTTAACCTTGCCTATTGCCGGGAACCTTTTACAGGAACTAAAGCGCCCTCGAACTGGCATGTGGGGTTACAACCCGATTAAGTTCTGGTCTATGTGGCGGAACTTAAATGCCCAGAGGCTTTGAGTGGGGAGCCATTTTAGTGTCTGCCACCGGGTCTGAGCACTGCCTGACTGACTACTTTCCGATTCTGGGCAATTCCTGTTGTATTTAGCCCCTATAAACCTTGTATGCTTCAGGTTTTCGGGTTTTCAAGCTGGGTCTCGGATTCTGGGACTTAGGGTTTCGGGATCTCGGGCGTAGGGATTTGTGTTCAGGGTTTCGGGTTCTCGGGCATAAGAAGTCTTGGGGTTTCGGGTTTTGGGGCTTCGGTTTAGGGCTTGGTTGGGCTCTCAGTGGACTTTTCGCGGTTTCGGGGTTTGGGGTTGCTGGGGTTGCGGGCTGCTGGGTCTAGGGGTTTAGAGTTTCTGCGTCCGGGCTTCTGGCCTTGGGGGTTCAGGGGTTAGGGTTTCTGGGTTGCGCTTCTGGGTTTAGGGGTTTAGGGTTTCGGGGTTGCGGGCTTCTGGGTTTAGAGGTTCTGGGTTCAGGGGTTCTGGGTTTTTGGTGCCAGCTTCAGCGCCATTCAACCAATCCACCACGTAACAGTTCGTTGCACGGCACATATAATCTGAGCGATTAATCAAGAATTTAACGCTTAGAAAATCAGCATACCGAGGGAACATAGGACTGGCAGCAACTAGCGTCCCGACTGTTATGCCTTAGAATACTTTAAACCCGTGCAAGAATTGCAAACACAAACCTACGACCTAGGAGCCGTTGACCCCAAACCCCAAAACCCAAGCCAATCAAAAAGCTTACAGCAAACAACGCCAAGCTAGCCCAAACACCCACAACCTTAAGCTAAGCCACAGAAATGGGCCTACAGCCCCGCCCCGACCCGGAGAGCCTCATGTTGAACATCAGCACGAAGATGACATGAAGCAGCTGAGCAGCGAGGAACTCCCGGCAGTTCTATTCCCCATACACCGCGCACTGCTGTGCGGGGAACTGCCGCAGGACCGCCGGGTGATTTGGGTTTTTGGGAAGCATGTCATGTTTGTTTCGGTGGTTGTGGTGCATGCTCGCACAGTGTCAGTGCAAGAGGAGCGCAGAGACAGGAGTCCTGCGCCTCAAGGTAAACGAATGGACAACGCAGCTTGTGGACTGTAAAGACGTGTGCTTGGGCAAGCACGGAGCTTGAACCTTCAAGTGTCGGCGAGCACAGTCCAGACAAGTTCAAGACAAGTCACAAGCCTTAGATAAGTTTCGGTGATACAGCGGGCCCGTTCCTGTATTCTTAGCTCAGGTTCTGACGACATTGGTATATGTCCACTTGTCATGGAAAGGCTGAATGTTGCCATGTCCAGGGAACAAGGAGCTGAAAACAAATGACATAAGTAGTGTTTCAGTATCTTTGGCTCACACGTTCAAGGGCTCTTGCCCTTTTCTGGCTGTTGGGGTTGTCATGCAGTCATGCTGTCCATACGAGTTACAGAGTTACATGTATTCAGCCACAAGCATGCGCCCCCGTGGTCCCATGCGCCTCTCTGTGAAACCTTCCTTGCAGGTTTGAGTTCCCGAGTGCCAGATTGAACAACATTCGAGAAGTTTGCGTCCGCAGCAACCTGTGGAAGCTGCCCTGCACTGCTGCCTGATGAGACTGTGTCCACATGAGCTCTTATGCATTGCCGCACTTCAGGAACTAATAAAGGTTGGCAGCGTGGTAGTATAGGCCACACAAAACCCTCCGGCCCCTTCATCAAACTTAAAATGTCAAATTCTCAGTCGGATTGAGCCTTGCAGCCAAGGTCGTACGTAGCATGACCGAATTCTTGCATGTCAACTGGCAGTGCTGGTTGTTTGAATGAGCAGCGGCTCCTGCCAGGACAAAGACAACGTACTGCGGGCGGTGAAATTCCCCAGACACCGTTTGGTGCTTTCGATCGGCGCGCTGCCACAGGACCACGGCCTGGATTTGGGGCATGGGCTGTTCGTAATGTCTTTCTTCGTCAGTGCATCTGTTCAGACCATGCATGACTTGAGTACTGTGTTCAGGTGTTTCTACGGTGCAGGACAGCAGTCGCAAGTGCAATCACGAAGGAAGTTGAAAGCCAAAGCGAGATTTGGTGCACGAGTCATATAATCTAGCATAGCCGCATCCGGCATGGCTTTATGATGTCTTCGCTTGAAGAGCAAAGCGATCGGAGGATGAGTGGGTCGGAGCGTAAGGCAACGAAGGGACAGCATAAAAGCATAATAAACAGGAATTCAGCCATCATAACTACAGCCACATTTTGGGGACACCACTTTGGCAATCGCCGAGGCTACTTTTAGCAACTTGAGTGGTGCTTTGGCACACCACTCCCCTGTAGTTTCTGCGGGTGCTGCCACGAGGCAAGCCTGGTAGCGGCCCCGTGACGCCGGCCGCTCCCAGTGCAGGCCTGAAGAGACCATGCAGGGGTCGGGACTCTTGACAGTGCAGGAGACGCGTTCCGGGTAGTTCAAGCACATGGAGTTGCACTTCTGCTCATGTATCTTGACAAGTGCCTCGTTGGATTTTTTGTCTTGTGGGTACGACAAGCTGCAAGGCAAAAGCACACTGGTCACACACTGCTGTGGGCAGGGCTGCAGATCCCCAAAGCTGAAGACGGTTGCTGCGCCCATCCTATAATACCAGCTAGCTTCTCCTCCCGACGTAACGTTGTGGATCGCTGAAAGTTACGGTCAAAGGACATTGCATCAGTCATCCTCTCGTCTGCCCATGCTTTCTTTGTGCAGCTCTAGGCTTTCCGCCGGAATAGCATGGCAGGGTTCAATCGAGCTCCGGAGGATATAGCCTGATTTGGCTGAAAAGCGGCATGCATTGTGTATCTGAGAAATTTCTGCCAACATGAAATTGCGAGGCACGCCTGCCGGCATGATTCCAGAGACGCCGATCGCTGCTTTCAAAAACAGCAGCATTCCTCAGACGCCGACTGCACCAGCTTCAGGCCGACCGGTGCTTGGCCCACAACTTTCGGCGGTTCTAGGCTCTAGGCCCTGAGCATAACAAGTCCGCAGGATTCTGCATGGTAAGGCTTCAGGCGGCTTCAGGGTCTGGGATTTGGCTTTAATTGATGCTTCGCGTTGAGCTTGCGTTCGAGCTCTACATCTCGGCCCAGTTGAAGAACATTGTGGCCCCTGAGCCTGATCTGTGCTATTGCGGGGTGAAATCTACGAGAGCAGCGACAAGGTTGAGGGAGGAGCGCACACAGGGCTTAGTTGATGGAGACGCGATGTGTTGCAAGGCTATGATCATTCGCGGAGCCTGGGTCGACAAGCAAGGTACCTAAAATTCAAACATGTTTATTTGAGGGGTGCAGGCGCGCCAAACAAAGATCCTCGCCACGATGTTTCTCATCTGCGACGCACTCAACACCCTTAAACTCTGAGGTTCTGATCTAGAAGGCTTACCTTGTGAGCATTCTACGAAGCCCTGTGCATAGCCTGAAGAGAGGCACTCCCGGCGGCAGGGTTCCAACCACGCCCGTCCAACGTCCGGGGTCCGACGCAGGCAAGCCTTGGGTTTCCGCGTGAGGGCTTGCATTCAGCCTTGCGGGAGTTTGCACCGGAACTCAAGAGTTCGGATTGTTTATGCTCGACCGTTCAGGCTGGCTTAAGTTTTCTTCGATTGGAGCTCTTGCTAGACTCGACTTGGTCTGACCTGCCATGGAACAACCCAGTACAGAGAACTTCACTGGCTTGGCCCCTTTGAGCCCGGCATTGCTCAACGCCTTACAGCGTTTTAGGTTGGATTTCAGAAGGCTCTGCGACCTCAAACGCTTTCGAGCCAAGTCGAGACATGCATCGTGGGCCGTGGGCATGCGCGGTATGAATTGTTAGTGACCCGTGACGACAAGCTACTTCGAGCCTTTCTTTCGTACTTGGTGGTTGTACGCCCTGCCAGGCGTTAAGCGTGACGAATGAGGACTTCATGCAGTGGATGAGAGTCCGAGGAGAAAAGGTGTGTGAAGACCTCGTCCAACAAAATTTCGGAGTCTTCAGAGAAGCCGGGATCTGGAGTATAGGTCGCTGCAAGCAGATGATCTTTGCTACACACCGACACATTGCCGATTCGGATCAAGTTGAAGCCTTGCGAGTGACTGGGGAATGTCAGATGGAATGAGTTGCACAGAGCTGACATGCTGCTTAGCTGTGGCAGCTTGAACAAATGTGTTCCTTATGTCCGACATAGTAGATATTGTTGTTTGATTCATTGCTGGTTTCGCGGTTCGCTGCAGTCCTTATGTTAAAGCAATGCCTAGGACGGGAAGCCCAGGAAGCAACAAGAAAGCAAGCACTCCGACCGCCCCTCAATGCATGTCTTCAGGGTGTTAGGTATCAGGGGCTTCGCATTGATCTCTAGCTGTGCTGCTTGTCGCCTGTCCAACCTCGCTGACTGCGGCCACTGTGCAAGACCTTCAGGTTTTGGAACGACGCAGGGATTTTCGGTGCTGAGGCTCAGATGTTTCAATTTTGAGGTAGGGGTAGTTGTCGGAAGAGATTCGAAGTTTAACGATTCTTCCGCTTCGGCCCAATAGTAGTCTGAACTCAGCTGTCACGTTCAAACTGTATGACATGCGGATGACGGATGATGACCGCATGTATACATATATATATATATACACATGTATACATATCTTGGCAGTGATCACGATTAGTCAGATGGAGAACAATGGGGACATGATGGGTATGCTGATGATGGTCATGATGATAGGTGCGATACTGACGCTGAGGCAGGAGCTTGATGGCGATGCTTGTCATGATGATGAAGCCATGCTGCATCTTTCACAGTGATGATAACGTGATGTTGATGATGATGCTGATGGCGATGGTGGTGGTGGCGGTGGTGCTGATGATGATGATGATGATGATGATAGTGATAGTGATTGTCATGTGGTTGGTGCCCACTATCGCTGCATACACGACTACTAGGGCGCAACAAATTTCGACTACAACCACGACTTTGAACAGTGCTACTGTGACTACACTGCTCAGGTCTGCTGCACGCGTAGTACTAGGAACACTAGCATCAGAACTGCGAGCATGGCTTCTTGCAAATGCTTGTCTCGACCTCGATGCTATTGACAATGCCGCTTCGCTGCTTGTGTGCTTCTCCGGGTGATTGAATCTGTCTAAGCCCGGTGCAGAACTCGGGACTCGTTCTGGAAAATTGAGGGGCTCGCTTGCCATTGCACCTGCTACTAGACACTAGTAAGCTGGAGATAGAAACAGGTTGCTACAGGCCCTGGGGCCTGTGCCTGGTTTTTCAAGAAGCGCCATTTCCGGAGAGGACTAGAACGTGAGATTTCCGGTTTGGAAGCTGCAGTCAGCTGCATGGGACATGTCTGCTAAATCGTTGACATTCCCAGGCATCAAGCACTTCAGCCAGAGGTCAGCACTCAAGTGGTCGGCTCTGATACCCTTGTTGCGGGTCGTGTTGCTCAGGCCATGCAGCCTCAAGGCTTCCCGGCGCACGTGCAGTATGTTGGAGACTTACTACTTCACGAGGATGGACTCTTCCTGAGCTCTGTGGAAGCTCCTCGCCTGCCAAGATCCGCGGAGCCCCTCCGAGATACGGCTTTCCAGCCCGGCCCGTGGATGCCAAGAAGGCTGGAGAATTGCAGGGTTCCATCCATTTGGCTTCTTGGTTTCATGATGATTCTTTTGCTGTGCATGTCGTCCCCACGGTATGTGGTACTAGTAGTGGTAGTACTAGTCGAGCTCGTCGTCGTAAGAGGCATGATGGTAGTGCAAGTGGTGGTAGTGGTACCGGTAGTGGTACTGGTATGGCACTGGCAGTGGAAGTGGAAGTGGACGTGGCAGTGTAGTAGTAGTAGTAGTAGTAGTAGTCGTCGTAGTAGTAGTGGTTGTGGTAGTGAAAATTGTAGCCAGTAGTCGTAGTGGTAGTCGTAATGGTAGTGGTAGTTGAAGTGGTCGTAGTCGTAATCAGTCGCAGTAGTAGTAGTAGTAGTAGTAGTAGTAGTAGTAGTAGTAGTAGTAGTAGTAGTAGTAGTAGTAGTAGCAGTAGCAGTAGCAGTAGTAGTAGTAGTAGTAGTAGTAGTAGTAGTAGTAGTAGTAGTAGTCGGAGTAGTAGCAGCAGTAGCAGCAGCAGTTGTTGCAGTTGCGCTCGCAGTTGCAGTTGCAGGTGCAGCAGCAGCAGGAGCCCATCAGCACCAGTACCGGTACCAGTACTAGGAGTCGGAGTGGGAGTAGAAGTACGCGTAGTAGCAGTGAGAGTTGGAGCAGGCAGCAGCAGCTGCAGCCGTAGTTGCAGTCGCAGTACCTATCAACTGTTCCAAGCCGATGAAATGGGAACACCGACGATTAAACTGGCTGTTTTGCGCTCGTAAAATGCAATACTTGATTGTCTGTCTATACGTATCAGCTGTTCAATCTTGACCGGTGCTGCTCGTCCGTCCGGCAGACTCGAGGTTGATGTGGCGACAATCGTCGTTTGAATTTTGATGAAACGGCATGCCTAAACGGTGCAGCCGATGCACTCCCGTAAGGTGGTGGCACAGCTACCAGTCCAAGGCAGGAAGACAGCTTTTATGCACATTTTGGAAGCAAAACTCTGGTCCATCTCATCTCTCTGCTAGGCCAGAAGCCTGATCACCGCTTCCCCCAGCACGGACAATTCAACGAACAACACCGCCGATTGCAGGTGCTCGGGCCGCGCACTGCGCACCACCCGTCGCAGCAAAGGTCTCATCGGAAGACGTGTGGACGACATGCATGTGTCATGTAATTTGTGGACATGTCTGCATGTCGATTAGACAAGCAGACTGGGTTTCCTGAGGCGGTCACCGCTGTGCTGGCTGTAGGTTCCCAAGTCATTCACCGTACAGCGCGCGCCTATTTCACGAGTGAGCCTGCTGCGGTTCTTGAGCTTGAGAGCGGCTGAGGCACCGACTCCCAACAACTGCAAGATCCAGCCGCAGCTCCAAAATTTGTTGCTTGCTCAGAGGCCGAAGAGTCCTTCTGTCTCCCGTCTCCCTCTGTCTCTTCTCTCTCTCTCTCTGTCTCTGTCTGTCTCTCTCTCCTCTCTCTCTCTCTCTCTCTCTCTCTCTCTCTCTCTCTCTCTCTCTCTCTCTCGCCGCGTCGCTCTCTCACATGGGCAGCTAGGTCTCTATGTGTCGCTGAGACCATAATATGTTTTCCGCTTTCTAACTTCGCAAAGTTATGTACGTACGTGGCAGAAGGACGTGCGTGCACGTTTTGTGTGCATACGTTCATACACGCGCGCATGCATTTGCATATGCGTATACAGTTACAGCATACCTACCTACCGAGCTCCCCCCCACATACATACATGCCTACACATACACAGATACATATGGACATGTACTTAGACATGCACGTGCAGACCCGGGTATACATACGAATACACATACACAAGCCCACACCTGCATGCATACACGAACACATCCATACATCCGTACAGATACATACGTTCATTCATCACTCATTCAATTCGTTCATTCATTCATTCATTCATTCAATCATTCGTTCACTGATGCATGAGTCATTCATTCATACATGCATGCACCCATACATCAAGAAATCCGTAAATCCATCCGTCCGTACGTCCATCCATGCATATCGCGGCACCTCACAGTAGTCCTTCCGGGGGGGTACCAGTCACCATACAGATATCAACGTATATAAGTTCATAAGTATATGGATATATATATATATATATATATATATGTATATATATATATATATATATGTATATATATATATATATATGTATATATATATATATGTATATATATATATATATATATATCTACACATGTACGTATGCACAGATGCATGCATGCATGCGTGCATGTACTCGCAGGCCTACTACAGTCAGTGAACGTTTTTGGCTTGCGTGGAGTTGCGCATAAGCAGGGGAAGAAATTTCGTTCCCGGCTGATTGTCGGCTTCAGGCAACCCTGTCCGACCTTAGTTTTGCGAGTGTGATGGCGGCCAAAGATGAGGAGACCATCGAGGGTGGAGATGAGTCGCCACATCCCATCAAGGAGTCCGCTCTTCCTCCAGCGTGGCGCGATGTCTACTCCGGTGAGAAGTTCAAGGTCTCTACCCTCTTCCCTCCTTTGTCTTGGCTGCCTCGTTACATCCGTTCCATGAAAGGCAACCCGACAGCATCGGATCAGGAGGCTGTGGGCGAGCTGCCATACTCGCTGAAGGGTGACTTCATTGCAGGGCTCACAGTGGGGTTGATGCTGGTGCCTCAGTGTTTGGCCTTCGCTTTGCTTGCCGGGCTTCCCGTCAGGGCTGGCCTCTACTCGTCGTTCGCTCCTCTTGTGCTCTATTCCGTCCTGGGCACTCTGCGTCAGCTGCAAGTCGGGCCGACGGCCTTGATTAGCCTGCTGACCGGGCAGGCTTTGGATTCGGTGGGTTTGCTTGGAGAAGGCGGACATGCAGCAGAGGCAGCTCGTATGGCCGGAGCCACTCAGCTGGCCTTGCTTGTTGGCTTGATCAGCTTGGCACTAGGCATTCTACGCTTCGGCTTTGTGGTGGACTTCATGTCACATTCTGTGATGAGCTCTTTCTGCACAGCATCCGGCGTTATCATCGCGACCTCGCAGCTGAAGCACGTGCTTGGCATCTCCATGAAACGTCACAAGCACTGGTGGGAGACAGCTGTGGACCTGATCCTGAAGTTGCCTGAGGCAGATGGAGCCACTGCGGCCCTGGGCTTCACTTTGCTTGCTTTCCTTACGTTCATGAAGGCTTGGATGTGTGTGGGGTGTCGGGTCCTTGTACAGTCTTGTGAGCTTTTCTGTGGTGCTGCCCGTCAGTCGAGCTGTCATAAACCATCAGAGTATCAGTTCGGACCAACTGATCAGCCCATAAAATGTAGTGGTGTAGGTCAGCCATACCCGAAACCGTCTTGTGTTGAGGCATGGAAGCAAGGTGGGAGCGCGGAGAAACGGAGCAAGCATTGGCTGTGGCGTTTCTTTCCGAAGAGAAAGGAGCGCATGCCATTCAAGGTCATGAAGTTGTGCGCGGACTTGTCATCTGTCCTCTGCGTGATTCTTGGATGGGTGTGGGGTCGAGTTTACGTCGCGGCGGGGGTTACATCTGTGAGGCCCATCGGCGACACAGAGAGCGAAGGCTTCATCTTTGTCCTACCCACCTTCGATCAGACCACTGTGGATCTGATCGTCCCCGCTGCAATGATCGCCATCGTGGGGTTCTTGGAGACGATTGCCGTAGGAGGCAAAATGGCCAACGAGAAGCGATACAGCTACGATGCCAACCAGGAGCTCCTGGCACTAGGAACTGCCAACGTCGGTGGGGCCTTCATGGCAGCTTTTCCTATCACCGGTGGTTTCTCACGAACCGCAGTGAACTCCATGTTTGGCGCCAGCTCCCAGTTGGCCGGTGCCTTGACCTCAGTAGTCGTAATCCTGGCTGCATACCTCCTCATGCCCGTGGTGGAGGTGCTGCCCTTGTCTGCTTTGGCACCACTGATCATCCACGGCGCTATTGGCGTCACCGACTTCAAAAGCTTCATCGCGACTTTCAAGGCCAACAAGCTCGACTTTGTGATCATGGTCCTCACCTTCGCAGTTTCACTTGGCATTACTGTGAAAGAAGGCCTAGCAACCGGCGTATGCTTGTCGATCCTGAAGCTGACCTACGAGATTGCCATGCCTAACATTGCAATCTGTGGCCAGGTCGACGATGGCACTTTCCGCGACTTCCGATACTACCCGGAAGCAGAGATGACCCCGAAGTGTGTTGTTCTACGCATGGATGCCAGCTTGAGCTTTGCGAACACTCGGCGGCTGCAGGAGTTCAGTTTGCGTGCTATGAACGTGGCTGCTACTGCGGACCCCTCGGTGAGCTACCTGATCCTCGATTGCAAGTCGGTGAACGGCACGGACATGACGGGTTGCGAGGCCCTGCAGCGAATATGTATCTTCCCATTTCTCGCGCCTCCCCACCTCGAACAAGTGAAACCTAAGGCAAGGCCAGGATTCTTAATCCAAGTTGCCACTAGGCTACCGCAGCTTTGAGCCACATTCCCGGAAGACCTACGCCGAAAACCGACAGGCTTGAACAGACGGTTACGAAGAGCCTTAAAACAACTTTCCAAACTCCTCAATGTTTCAGGCCATCGAGAACCTGGCCATCACCTTGGAGAAGCGGAAGATGCATCTGCTCCTCGCAAACCTGAAGGCTCCCTTCACGAAGGCACTCTTTGCCGCCGGGGTAGACAAGCACCTGGCCTGCTTTGAGTACGTGGGCTTAGGATAATGAAGTGTGTGACAGGTCTTGAGGCTTCAAGCTCAGCGAAGGGGCTGACATCACAAAAGTCTGTTGTTTTGCACAATGGGGGGCCCCTAGTAGCTGTGCATGGGGTTCAATGGCAACGTGGCCCCAAAGTGCACAGCTTGCTTAAGGCTACAGGCGATCTCTCGATCCTTCGCAACGCTTCTGCCCCAAAGCTACCGATCAATACTTCCTTCGACATGTTAAACCTGCAGGCTGTCAGTACGACTTTTTCCAATTCTGAAGCCCTTCGCAACACTTCGCGCCGGCACCCAGGCACCTCACCCACCATGGTGGCCACCTCTGCTGGAACATGGCTCAGGCCATCTCTGTAGTGAACGGCGGTGATCCCGAGTCTGCTCTGGAGAACCTGGGACTGGTACTAGCAATCTGTGTGTGTGTGCTCTTACTGAGTAGTTCTTGTTTATTTTGGTAATGTGACATTACTAACTACCAAAGAACGTTTCATTTCGAGGCGGACATAGGGACGTCGAAATCGTTAGCCAACAGGTATGACGCAAACCTCCTCCCAATAGCAAAGGCGGCAACAGCATCAACAGCAGCAGTACTAATAGGAATAGCAAGTTTCTGGTGACCCCCACACTCATCACCACCACTGGCAACAACGACGACAGCAACGACAACGACGACAACCACAAACAACAAGCAACAGCAACAACAAGGTCAACAACAACAATAGCGTCAACATCAACATCAGTAAAAACAACAGCAACAGGAACAGCAACATACGACATACGACAACACATAACGACACCACCAACAACAGCAACAATGACAGCGACAGCGACCTTCATGACCACCACCACCACCACCACCACCACGAGAGGACGACGACGAACGACACCACAGGACAAAAAACGAAGCAAACTACAGGAAACAACAACAACCAACGACAGCAGCAGCAACACAACAGTAGCAAGAACAACAGTGAGAGGAACAGGAACAGCAACAGCCACACTAGTAGCAATAGCAGCAACAATACTAGCAACAACAGCAACAACAACAACTGGCAACATCGAACACCACCAAGCAACAAACAACACCAGCAACAACAACAACAACAACAACAACAACAACATCAACAGCAACAGCAACAGCAACAGCAACAACAACAAGAAGAATAACTTCAGCAGCAACAACAACAACCACAACAATAACAACAACAACCACAACAACAACAACAACAAGAACAACAACAACAACAGCAGCAGCAGCAGCAACAACAACAACAACAGCACCAGCAGCAGCAGCAGCACCACCACCACCACCACCACCACCACCACCACCACCACCACCACCACCACCACCACCACCACCACCACCACCACCGCCACCACGACCGACAACAACAACAACAACATCAACAACAACAGCAGCAGCAGCACCACCACCACCACCACCACCACCACCACCACGACCAACAACAACAACATCAACAGCGACAGCAGCAGCAACAGCAACATCAACAGGAACAAGAACGAGAGCAAGAACAATAGCAAGATTACGCTCCTGTCAGCGGCCGCTGGCGGTTTGCAGTACCGCAATGTTCCGTCACTACTGACTGCCATTCCTGATTTCGCATGGGTATCTTCAGTCCAGCAGTTATTCTGATTGATAACTTTATATGGGTCATTGCGCAAAGAATTTGATGTCGGCGCTCTTCTCGGTTTGGCCGAGGTCTGTCAAAGACCTTCACTCCCGAGTGCAGTCCAGTGCTGCTCAGCAGAGTCCCTTGAAGCAGTTTCTGCCTTTGTAGAGCGTGAGCACGATGGTCACGGCATGACGCCCGGATGCGCCAACTTTGCTGGAGCAGCCTGAGGTGCTTGCCGTGCTTCCGTCACTAATTAATTTCCTGGGCGTGTCAAGATGTAGAGATAGTAGCATTCGCACTCGCTGCGAAATGGTTCATGTTGACCTCTCTGTTACATTCGCACCTGCTGCGAGATGAAACCTTGCCTGAGGACAGCACGCGGATTGCTGGAACCATGCATTCCAAAGCATTCCAGACACTCCTGCAGCACACTGCCAGCTTCTAGTGCTTGCTGCTGGCATGTCGCCGTTTTGCGCTAAGGCCGCGCTTCCAGCCGCCCGACTTCGAAGGTTCATCCGTCTTTGGCTGTATGCATCATAGTATGCATGAGATCACCGGTTATGCAGCCGCTTCAAGAAGACAACCTGTCATGTGCCTGCGATTCTTGTGTCTCCCGTTTTCTGAACTGTCACGGCTGCACACCTCCAACCTGTTACGCAATTATTGTCTTGTTCTGGGGGCACTGGCGGCACTGGTGCAGGTGAAGATGGACAGCTTCCCCGCTCGGGTCTCGATGATGCATTCTTCCTGAGTTCAAAGGGTTGTGATCGGGGTCCTTGGACACTTGCTAGTGAATATTGCAGGCAGAGCTCCCGTGCTGTCTGCATTGTCTGCATATGCAACACATGGCTTCAGGAAGCCCTCCATCACATAAATCCAAACCCGACTTCGTCAGCCTTCAGCCACGTTACTCGGTGGGGCTGCTTTTGGCTCGGCTACTTGAGTCGCAGCGCTTGCACTAGCTGTGAAAGCTGTGTCAACTTGTGAAACACACATACTAATACACGATGGAAAATTCAGCAACGGAGGCGTTCTGGCACAAACATGTCGCTTGCACCGTGATGACTTCATCGGCATATACATACTTACTGAGTCCGTTGCGCGAGGCGGCGTAATTATTGCGATTCCTTGAGGATGCACGCTTGCTCAACCGACCTCCGCAGCAGCGGCTCTCGCAGCAGCAGCACGCAGCAGCCATGGATGCGATTCTCACGCCAGCAACGCTGCACTCAAACGCACCGGTTGCACAGTTCGCAAGTGTGACATTCGTACACTCAGAGCATGTATTACACTCTTGCCTCCATCGTCATCATTATGATGATGATGTCATCATCATCATCATCATCATCGCCACTACCATGACCAACTGAGAGGTCGCAGATGTCGTTGTTGTTGACGTTCTCGATGATGAAGTCAAAGATGACGATTGCCATCATGATGTTGATGCTGTTGATGAGCAATGGGATGCATCGAGCTGTTCCGTTCACGCCCCCCTCTCCCAACCTCCCTATAGCATGTTGAATTCCAGCCGGCATGAAAGTTAAGCCCGAACGCGAGCAATTCCAAAGCTCGCCCGAGACTGTCGGTGCTTCTCGAACTTGACATCCTTCTACATGTTGAAGACTGAGGACCTGATTCACCGTGCAGCACCCCGCGGGAGCGGGCACCCAGTGACGTTAGGCTTGCCCGGCAAATAGATCTCAGAAATCATAATGGCATGTCCGTAGATAATTCGGGGTCGACGAAGTGTTTCAGTCTGGTCTTTTCTTGCATGTGATGTTGATCGGGCATTTGATTGGTTGAGGGTGCGCGACTGCGGGATGGGGTTTCTTTACAAGACAGCTGGAGGATGTGAGTCGAGAAAGCTACGCATCTAAGAGTCGTATCCCTTTTAGATGGGATCCTTGAGAGAAATCCTTCAGGCAGATGTGTAGCACAGGATTCTCTTAGCACCCTGAGCATGGATCGAAGTGTGATCTTCGGAAGCCACAAGACAAGCATGTAATCTGCCAGAAGTTGCATGCAACGTAACATCTGGCACATGGATGTGCCCGGAAGCTTGCATTAAGCCCTCTGCATACTCCGAAGAAGACCTATGGGACCTATGGATGGTTTGCATTATCGCTTAATATCATGATTTTTATTATTACTTATTAAAAAATATTACTGTTATTATTATTATCATCATCATCAACATTCAAATTAATTCTGTAATATTATTAGTAGTATCCAAGTTGAAGGGGTCGAGACAAGCTTGGGATGGCTTCTGCGCCAAGGAATCAGGCCAGGCCGACGAGCTGGAGGCGGAGCAAAACTGGGAGTACTGCTAGAACAATACTACTACTACTACTACTACTACTACTACTACTACTACTACTACTACTACTACTACTACTACTACTACTACTACTACTACTACTACTACTACTACTACTACTACTACTACTACTACTACTACTACTACTACTACTACTACTACTACTACTACTACTACTACTACTACTACTACTACTACTACTACTACTACTACTACTACTACTACTACTACTACTACTACTACTACTACTGCTAATCATAATAATATTAATGATAATATTTATAATAAGTAATAATCATAATAACAATATTAACACTACGCTAGCCCCTGCTGCTTCTTATGTTCCCCCGTCGGATTATTTGTATACTGCGCAGAGTTGTGCAGTGTCACATCATTTGGCGGTTGCGGAGAGCTTCGGACGCAGGGATGCGGAGCTCATTCCGATTTTCGTAAGCCTTCTGCCACGGCTTACGCACCGGTTTTGAACGACTTTAGGCTTTGGGTTTAGAGCGCGGTCGATTAAGTCAACGATTCGTTTATCCCGTGCCTTCGTTCGATTCTATAGCACCGGGAAATGAGCCGTTACAGGGATATGCGCTGGCCGGTTAAAAGGAGCTCTGTGGGAATTGCAAGTGCCGCCTTTAAAATGTGGCTTGAGTTCATGTTGCGCCGTGCCGCGTTAAGGGGTCAGCGTCATACACGTGCGAGAATCAATGCGGGTGTTGCAGACCAAAAAAAGCAGCCAAGATCATTGAAGATTCCCCGGTCGATTAAACACCAAAACCGAGCTATGTTTGGGAACAGCACCTTGGATTCCCAGGCCTTCATGTTGAAGCGGCGTGGGTGTTAGGGCTTGAGCCGGCACTTGCTTCAGAATTTTCTTCTCGCTCCTGATATTGAAGACCCGGGGTTCAGATCTAATTAACAAGGTTCACTCCTTCAGCCTCCCAAATCTCAAAGCCGTGATTGTCATCAGCCAGAGAAGCCTCAAACAGATCAACAACCGTTCCTACATCGTAACAGGATTTGGGGCCCTTCTCTGCCGACACCTTTGTGGAGTATCGAAGTCGATCTAGTGGGCAGTGGATTCTCGCGAAGGCACTGTGGTCGGGAGCTAGGCAGAGGATTCGGGTCATGAGGCTTGGCATTTGCTGTTCGGAATTTGGGGCTTGGTTTGATTTCCTGGCGGATCAGAAGAACTGCTGCCCGACTACTCTGCTCCTGCTCCTGCTCCTCCTTCTGCTCCTCCTCCTCCACCTCGTGCTACTCCTCCTATTCCCTCTTCCAACCTCCTTTGCCGCCTGCTCCTCCTGTTACTGCTCCTGCTCCTCCCACTCCTGCTACCACCACTACTACTGTACTACTGTTACTACTACTACTACTACTACTACTACTACTACTACTACTACTACTACTACTACTACTACTACTACTACTACGACTTTTACTACTACTACTGCTGCTGCTGCTACTACTACTACTACTGCTGCTACTGCTACTCCTGCTGCTGCTGCTGCTACTGCTACTGCTACTGCTGCTGCTACTGCTACTGCTACCAGCGGCTGCAGCAGCAGCAGCACCACCACCCCCACCCCCACCCCCGCCCCCACCCCCACCCCCACCCCCACCCCATCCCAACCGCCACCTCAGACATCTTCATAATCTGATCATCAAGGTCGTCTTTATCTTCATATTCATCCTCCCTAACCCCACCTCCATCTTCACTAACACCTTCCTAAACCATCATCATCATCATCCTCATCCTCCTGCTCCTGCTTCTCCTTCTGCTCCTCCTTCCTTCCTGCTTCTCCTCGTCCTCGTCCTCGTCGTCGCCACATCATCGTAATGTTCGCTCCGACATCATCAATCATGTCGAGGAGAACCTGTCAGTGTTGATCGTTGATCGTGATAGTAGCAGTAATCATGAAAGCTAGCTCCTTGGAGCTTGCGGGAGTTGTTGTTTGCAAGTTTCTTTGTTGGACAAACTTGCAAGGAATGCCCCTTTTGTTCGGTATATCAAGGACTTCTAGGTTCGCAGGAGGGGGGGGGTGGCTCCACCCTCCCCCACCTTTTGCTTGATTCTTCACAGCTTTTCGATTAGGGAGGGCCTCCCCCCTCCCTCCCCCCCTCATCTGTCGGTTTTCGGTTTCGGCGGGTTGAGCTATCAATCTTGCTTGCCATGGATGCCGCCATTCTCCCCGCACGCCGCCCTGCCCTGCACGCAAGCCCGCCGAACAACCTATCGCTTTTGTACTTGCTTATCCCTCGGCGTTTCTACTTCTTGCCCCGAGCTTTCGTCCGCCCTTCTCTCAAGTAATCGGTACTGGGCGGCTGCATACCAGCAACGAGGATAATGGGATTACAACAGATTGAAACAGAAACTTGCCGGCATCATGCACAAGATGTCGACAATGCGTGCGAAACCAGGACAAGGACACAGAAGCGCACCTACAGGACCTACAACAAGAACAACAGTTAGTTAGTTTTGAGTCTTGAGTTCTGATTGGAAGTTTGCCCGAAGTTGGAACTCGTGTCCACGACATTTGATTCGACACGTTTTCCCAGCAACATTGGCTACCCGGTTGCGTTAAGTGGAGTTTGCTCTAAAGTGAACTTTTTCTAGTGGCCCAACCCAACACAAGCACGCCCTGCGGCGTTTAAGTATTGACCAGCCGCATAACATGCAGTGGTGTGAAATGTCAAAGCTTACGTGGCTGGACAATTTCTCCTTCGTGAAACGGAGCCTTCACGGAGCCTGCTGCAAAAAAGGCAGAATCCGAATCTATCACGCAACTCTGCGTTCAGGTAGAGAATTTCAACGCCGACACGCAGACGTATCGCCTGGATGTGCAGCCCTATGCCCCGGCAGACAGGCTTCGGGACAAAAGGGTAGATGGTTTGACCGTTTGACCCCTTCAAAGCTGTGTGTCGTTCAGCAATCATCCCTAATCAATGTAATTACGATACTCCTCGCCAGCTCCACAAACCAGAAGACATCCGAGAGCTCCCAGCCAGGGATCGGTGAGGCTCCACCACCAAACTCAGCCAAACAAGCGGTGTTTGCGGCTAGTACCTTTACTGACTGCGAGAGGCTAGAGGCGTGACAGTAGGACGCCCTCCTCCTCCTTCTCCATCTCCTGAGCTTACTTCTTCGCCTTCAGCGGACCGCACTGACCGATAACTGACAGGGTACGTGCCCGGCGCCGTGGCTTACCAAAAAGGCAGCTGCTGGGAGCTGTGGGGAATTTGAGTGACAATACACCACGTGGGTCAGGTGGAAAGAGCTTAGGCTTGAGGTCTGTCAGGTCCTGAAGCCTCTTGGCTTCCAGGGCCTCTGAGACCTGCTAGACTGCGAGACATCTCTGTGTAGGCCGGAGGTAGCAAACGGCCACGAGTCAGTGGCCTCAGCCTGAGCTTTTCGTTGCCCTGGCCGCCTGAGCAGGATCTTGCAGGGTCGCATGTTCAAGGATCTGCAGCTTCGGCTTCGGCACCGCATGTCCATTCCTGCAGTTTCACACGGCACTCTTTTTGCACTGAAGCGTCCGTCCATGATGTCAGACAAAGTGAGGGTGCGTGACAGTGACACCATCAAAACTTTCGCGAATGTGCCGTGCATCGAACTTCCTCGCACCCCTGATTGTGTTGCGCATGCTAGCACAGTTCCACATCTGAGCCCATTCGTCGACAAGCACACCCGAGCCCCAACTGCCTGAGCCTAGAGGGACCCGGAAATTTTACCCAGGCTGATGCAGGACCGGAACCAGGCAACGATCGAGCTGCAGCCTCGGACGACTCCAACAAACCCCCAACCCCTCCCCCCCCCCACATGAAAAAGGATTAGGGCTCAAAGCTGTTGAACTCTCGATGTTCTTGTTCTATCAACACAGCGCGGCCCCATGTCCACAGGCTTTAGCAGAATCAGAATTCTACCCTTCGTCTCTGAACTCCGGATACCATGCTATGTGGAGGTGTGCCCGTTCTTCTGCACTCTTGGGCTTCGATTCGTGGCAACACCCAATGTTCGGAAGCCGTCAAGGATACAACGCCACACCGGGCAGCGGAGCGGCGAGTGCAGGACACTGCTATCAGGTGTGCAGAGCTTGAAGAGACGCATGGACCACTTTTTGGATTGTTTGAAGATTTGAAATTCGGAACGTTTTTCTTTCTTCCATTTCATCTGAAACTTCTGAATCTTTGGAGATGCCCCACATAGGAGTGCTTGTGTTGCTGCCAGTTTTAATTGAGATGCGCGAGATGCGGCTGGTGCATGTTTCGAAGCGGTGGATTGGGCCTAGTATCGCAGGAAGCATCGCGCGAGACACAGTTCCTTGCCTGCAGAGTTTGCATTTCGGTGGAACCCAGAACCTCGACATGCGAACCTCTCGGCTTGCAGTTGGAGCCGATTTAGGTCTGCGCCGTCTTGCGAGCCGGGCATATTGGAGCTGTCCCTGCAAGACGAGGCTGCTCAGTGGGGGCAGTAAACCCCATGACTGACTCCAAGACCGATGGCCGGCACGGTCGGCCGGAATGGCAAAGTCCATGTCGAGACACACTGCATGCTCCGTTTCCGTATCCGTTGCTTCTTCTGTTCTGCTTTTGTTTTGGCCAAGGTTTCCGCTCTCGCTCAAGGTTCCGCCGTCGATTCGTGTCCTTCTGTCTTCCGTTTCTCCTTGTCCCGTCTTGCACGCGCCGTTGAACATTGAAGCGTAACACGAAACGAAAAAGCCGAAACAAAAACAGAAGCAGAAGCAGAACACCCGGCGACGCCAGTTCCGTTGGCAGAAATCAGAGTGATTCTGAGTGTGGCACAGCGAAGCATTTGCCTACTTGTGTTTCCGGCGGTGTCGGACAAAGCTGCTGCTGTGAGGGTTCTGTATCCTGCATCTTCACAGCTTGGGCACGTGTAGCCTGTTTCTGTTTGACGTCCTTGCCGGCACACACCTTTTTGTGAAGCTTGAACCAAATAAGCCTTAAACACCTTTCCCGAAACCTGAACCCTACACGGAGAGGTGGAGATGCTGCGCCGGCGAGTCGTTGAGCTGGAGGAGCAGAACCGGACTCTGCATTCACAGGCAATCCGAGCCTGATTCTACTCGGCCAAGCTTCACCCACCCAGTTCCATAAAATAGTTGGCCGAGCGATTGCGCATCCGGCCCAATCATCTCAGGTCCATTTGGATCACGCACACAAAATTCAAATCTAAGGAGAAACCCAAGCCACCTTGCAAATAACATCCGCGCCGTGAGCCCTTCATCTCAAAAACAGTAAGCCCACAATGCCAGGTAGCGCATGAGACTGAGCTGAAGGAGCGCTATCGGCAGGACCCGGTGGCATGCTCCTTGTTCAGTTGCTACAGTGCGGATGCCATTGTTCTCGTCATTCGCGTTTCAGTCATGTGACCAATACTACCGCAAGATCGTATTGCTCCTGCTACTGTATGATGAGCATACAAGTACTGTGTGTGTGTGTGTGTGTGTGATATTCTGGCGCAGTACTTTACATTACAACATGTCGGTTATCTCAATACAAGGGGCATTTTTTCGAGTGTGTTCATGTGTCTTTCTGCGATGTCCGGGGATCAGAACACCTCTTGACGCACAAAGCACCCTACTGTCAGGTGGTAGTGTCTGCTTTTGTTGTCTCCTGGGTTTCGCCCACGAAACGTGAGGATCTCGCTCCAAGAGGCTACTAGGTCGTGACCTGACTTCAGGGTATGACTTTTGCTCGAACCTAGCTCATGTCAAAAAGTAGCAAAGGACCCCCCCCCCCCCGCACAGCACAATTGGAGAGCACCGTGCACAACTACCACTGGACGCCAGCTGTCCAAACACCTCAATTGAGGCTACTCTTTCTAGATGTCCGGTGCTTGTCGTGGAGTTTGACCGGATAAAACATCGAGAGTACGAGACGCGGGTAAGACGGGACACCAAAGGACCGAAAACGTGATCGTAGGAAAGTGTGTTTTTCATGCCTTTCGCCTCAGCCTACAGTACGCCTGGCGTGAACACGCAGGAACTGGCGGAACTTCGCAAGTGGGGCCAGACTCCGCGATAGCTTTTCTTCGAAACGCAGTCTCACCTGCCGCCGGGCGCACGATGAGTCTCTAATGGGAAGGCTTGGTAATCATTCTGCAGTTAACGAGTTGAATTCAAACTCGGGAGATACGGCTTGCTGGCACCTAGGACGGGTGCAGACTTGCAATCCCCTAGGTCGCAGCAGCCTCAAGCCAAAATCTCCAGATGCAAAACTTGCGCAAATGTCATGCTTGGGGATACCGAGGCAAAAGACAAAAAGAGACCCTCAACCTTCGCTTCTGTATTGTGCTCCCTGCATGTAGAACATGCAGCAAACGATGCCTGTGGGCCTGCGTCAAGGCCAATCATTTCTGACACCATGCGGTAGCATTGCTTCGGGCCATGTGCAAGTGCAAGGTGACAGCACAGCAAGGTGTCACAATTGCTTTCGAGTAGCTCCGAGTGCAGCGTCACCTCACTAGAGTCGTAGGAAGAACTCTGCGGTACACTGTCGCATATGGCAGCCAAGCGGCAGCATGCAGACAACGCTGATGCGGTTGACTCGAGGTTGCAACGATTCCTTTGCCGCTTTTGCCTCCACAAATTAGCGGCAGTGCCATCCACAGCTGTGAATGCTGTCGCCGACGTGGGTAGGGATGGCTAGGAGCTACTGACATCATACTTCGCTCCTCTAGGCAGTGTCTTCACTCTTTGTTGGCCCCAGGAGAGTGCCCTGCCGGCGAAACGGCGCCTCGGAACTGTGCAAGCGGTGCTTGTAGACTTTGATGCCACCCTTACAGTTCGCGAGGAGCCGAGCGACAGCCTAACGAGACTGACTTAAGCGCTTCGACTTTAAGTGGTGCAAGCACTCTCCTAAGAATTGCAACAAGTAAACTCCAGACCGATGTTGGCAGGAGATCCCCGCATGGCGGTTGTTTCCCGACAAGGGAGGCTTTGATCGCGAAGTCGATGTCACTTGGCTCCGCGAACGAGGTGGCTTGAATTGGAACTGGCAACTATTGGGAGCTTTGATTAAATCGGATTGGATTTGAGTAGGCATCCTGACTCCCCTCCAGTCGTTATCAGCGCCATGGCAATCGTCAGCACAATGTCATCATCATGACTCTGATTGAACAAAGGCCCTTTGCATAATGCGCGCATAACCTTGTGACTCGACTCTGCCAGTGACGCTCTGAAGCACCGCCACTGATTTCAGTAATTACATACGGCAGCTACAGCAAAGTGGCTGTTCCATCATAGTAGCATCTGTGTAACGAGGTCTATACGAAGGCATCGTCCAATCGCAGCACGGAGGTTTTTCTCGTCAGCAAGGCATACGCAACACAAGACCACGCCGAAGAAGGGAGGAAAGCTGGTCCGTCGTCAGTGATACTCGGTTGTTTTTCTTTAATTTCCGAGGCTTCGGAGGCGAAGAGCGCATCCGGGGCTTGGAGAAGATGTTCCGCCGGCTCGAGGAGGCCGATGCCGCGAGCTCAGAGCTGGAGGGCGGTTTAGGCGGTTTGGGCTTGGGGATCACTTTCCTGTTCTCTCTCTCTCTCTCTCTCTCCATCTCCCGCCTTCCTCCTTCGCTCCCTCCCTCCCTGTCTCTTTACCCCTCGCTCTCCCTCCAGCTCTCTCTCACTCGCTCTCTCCCACCATTCCGTTCTCCCTTCACATACAGCAGACCTGTGCTTGTGTTTGACCAAAACACCGTCCCCTGCAGTTGCAAGCGCTTGCACTCAAGCATTAAGCCGCAAAGCCACTCGATTCACACCCCTTGACTGCCCCCGAACCATTTGATGATGAACGTGATTACCCAGCAGACATTGACTAGAACAGGTCGACGGCTTGACAGCTTCATGGTGTAAGTGCACAGCATCTTTTCTGTACATGTGCGTTGCGGTGTGCGAGCATCCTCCTGAGCCTGTGATCTCTCCGCGACATGAAGGCACAAGGATCTGTGAGTCAGCGGAAAAGGCGTGACTGCGTCACTGCCGCATGTGTTCGCAGAGTAGCAACTTCTGCATTGGCAGCGGGGCATAGTTCCTGGTTCGTCCAGGGCAGGCTTCGCCATGGTGCGAGATACTACGAGCCGCTCATGGCGAACTGTTGCGGCCGCTGGTCAGCGCCCTCGGTTACACGATCCTCCGCAAGTTGATGGTGATCGACGACGGCCGGCGGAAGACGGCGAGGGCGAAGCGGCTGAAGGCACCGAGCAGGTTCCAACGGGAGAGAACTTGGGAGGTGTCGATGCAGACGACACCGGCACAGCTGACGCTGTTGAGCCGGTAGATCCTTGGGCCGACTTTTACCGAGGACGCGAGCAGCAGCCCGAGCCCACAGCCTGGAGGGACGACGACTGGAGCGGCACGGCCAGCTGGAAGGATGGCTGGCATGATTGGAGGCCTGCGGCCACTGACCGCCGGGCCTCGGCGACTTCTGCTTCTACGGGTTGCTTGACCGATCGCCAGGTGGGGAACTTCTACACCACGGCGATCGGCGAGACGACGGCCACCGACCACGGCCGTTGGGTCGGCACCCGGCGCTGGGAGCCCAACCAAGCAGATGCATGGGACCTTGGCGATGGAGCCGGGGATGGCTGGCGCTCCGAAGGGCGTGACTCCCGTGGGCTACGAGGCCAGGTCTTACGTGCGCCGAGTGCAGGTCTGGCTCCGGTGCACCAAGCTTCCGGTGCGCCAAAGCGGATTGGCGCTGTACTCCTCTTTGAAAGGGAAGGCCTGGATCTACGCCGAAGAGCTGGACGTCGACATTTTGGCTTCCTCGAGTGGATCCAGGCCAGGTTCATGGAGATGGAGGTCTCCAAGATCTCCCAGATGATGACCCACCTTTTTAAGAGGTGCAAGCGCAGGCAGGACCAGCCGGTGCGTGAGTTCAACGTGGAGTTCGAGCGCTTGGTGCTGAGGCTTCGCGAGGTTAAGTGTGAGCTCCCTCCTTTGGTGAAGGCCTGGCTCTACCTCGACAAGCTCAGGCTTTCTGAAGGAGAAGGCAAGGCCCGACCGAGGCCGGCGGTGGCGGAGGGAGCTATCGCGGAGGCCAACGGCGCTGGCGCAGAGGACTCCGACGACGTCCTAGTCGACGAGGTCACGGCTGCGGAACACCACACAGCCTTTGTTGCCTACCAAGCGGCCAAAGAGAAGTACCGTGAAGCCATCAAAGGGCGAGGCACGGACCCCGGCGGATTGAAACGCCGGAGCGAGGAGTGCCTGCGCCAGGCGAAGGCACGCTCCTACTGCGGAGCTTGCAAGAGACGAGGGCATTGGCACAAGGACCCGGAGTGTCCTTTGCGTGGCCGCGGACGTGCCGCCGATGCTCCCTCGACCCGAGGCCCCAGCAGGCGCAGATGTGCAACCAGGTGTTCATGATAACGAACGCCGACGAGCTCGACGAGGAGGCGCCGAGCTACCCCACCGCGACGGTCGAGGACGACCACGATTACAAGAACTTTGGAGCAGACGGCGGAGAGAAGGGGCGCACCATCAAGGCCCAGGGGTGCCCAGTCTGGCTTGCTGGTTCCGGCCCCGCGCCCCACCAACCTCGAGGCGATGCCGTGGCTGGCTACCAGTGGTTTGAGGACTACTGCCGGCTGATGGACGGGCTCGGGGTGGCCGTGTGGACCCGCGATCACTTTGATAGCTTCAAGTTTGGGGCCTCCCGGGTGCACGTCTCGAAGTTTGCTGTCCTGGCCTGGTTCGCGATTCAAGGGAAATGGTTCCTGGCCGACATTGCCATCGTGCCGTGCGAGGTCTCTCTTCTGTTCAGCAGGCCGGTCCTGACCGGGCTGGGGATGCGTTATGACATGGCGGTTCAGACCGTTGATCTTCCCGCCCTATAGGGCTCACGGGGCTCACCATGAAGATGGGCCCGACCGGCCCTGTCGCGGCCTGGGCCTTGGTGGCTGCACTTTCAGGGGTTTAGTTTAGGGTTCCAGGTTCAGAAGCCATGACGAGAGTGGAGGTTTTTTCAGGGCAGTCACACAGTCCTGCAGGCACACAGTCCTGCACACACCCCGTTTTGGAGGTTTCTCAGTATCCGGCCGAGGGGCCGCCGCTGGCCAAGGTGCCGGAGTTTGACGTGATTTGGTGCCCGAGCGCGTGTGCATACATGTCTTCAGCCATGCCTTTGCCACTTTCCAGTTCACAGGCCACGCCTCTACCGCCAAAGGCCCTGAAGAACATGTTCTACCCCAAAAAGGTTGCCCCCGAGGTTCACAACATGCTGGCTGGGGCTTGGGCTTGTGGTGGGCATGCCTTTTCAGCATGGTGGAAAGGGGCAAACCAAAGCAAAGATTTCTGGCTGGAAACGGAGGGCGAGATGGTGCGGGTTCACGTCATACCTAGGAAACGGCCCTTCGACCCCAACCTGTGGACCACCAAGCACGACAATCTCAAGGACGACCTTCCGAGACGCCTGGGTGCCGAGCGCGTCACCGAGGCCATTCCTTGTCTTGTCGAGGGCATCGCAGTCCAGCAGCATAGCAGTGCATGGCGGCAGTCGGATTCTGAAGGATTGTGCCTAGAGCTTCGCGAGCTGTCCAAGATTGGGCTCTGGGTCGGCCGCAGCCGCTTTCCGAAGCAGCTTTCCAGCAACCCCCAATTCGAGAACTTGATGTCCTCCCTGAAGTCACCATGGAAGATGAACAAGCGGGAGCTGACCCTGGAGCTGGAGGACTACGAGGTGTTGATCCACGCGACGTGGACCGTGCCAGAGCTCCGGAGCATGGTGATCGAGCAGCGCCAGGCCAGAGAGTTGACCAGCAAGAAGGGCCGGGGCGAGGGGGATCCCATGGCCGGCCTTTCCAAGATGACCCTCGCCCAATTGATCGAAGAGGCCCAGAAGCAAGGGGTGGCATTGCCCACTCAGCCGACGAAAGGTGTGATCATGAGATTGCTGATGCGCGATGCGACGACCACCGAGGCCACCACGATCATGCCGTTCGGGAAATACAAGAACTGGTACTACAAGGAGGTGCCGGTGGCTTAAAGGAGACAAAGAGCGGCAACAGCACCCCGACCTCCAGCGCTTCGCCACGTGGGCGGCCGCCGAGATGGAGAAGCAGGCGCAGGCCGGCAAAGTGCAGGTGCGGCGTGGCTATGTGGACCCGGAGGTGACAGCCCAGACGCCGCCCGTGTGTTGACCACCGCCCGACATCGAGGAGGCGGATCGCCCCGAAAGCGATCCCTTGGGGGCCCCGACGAATGGGAAGGCCGGTTCCGCGGGCGTCTCCGACCGCGGCGCCGATGGCAAGGAGCCGGGGAGCCAGCCAGACGAGGACGAGGGCGAGATCCAGCTGCAGGAGAGGCTCGGCGTCGAGGGTGACCAGGATTGCGAGGCGTGGAACCATCACCTGGCAACACGTTGGGCCCTGGGGCCCGCGAAGCTCGAGGCCACCGTCGACTACGAGAAGTTTGGGGACGAGGCCCGGGCGTCCAAGCGCCCGAGCACGAGGCCAGCCCGGCTGCTGACCCATCGCTTGGAATATCAGCGGCAACTTGACGTGCTGGACCCTGGTTTTGGCGGCGCTTCTGGTTACCATTCCACGGCCTTTGCCACCGGGAAGTGAAGAGGACTGGCGGCAGCCAGCCACAGGAAGCCTACATGGAACAAGCCGGTGAGGGCAAAGCGGCCGAAGAAGCTACCGTGGCCAGCCGGACGTCGGAGCAGCCGCCATTTCATTTCGCGGCAAAGTGAACCCCCAGGTTGCAGCAGTGGTCCGGCGAATCCACCAGAACCTGGGACACCCGCCAACGCGGGAGTTGGTCAAGCATCTGCGCCTCAGTGGCGCCTCTTCGGCCATGGTACAGGCGGCCCAGCAGCTCACGTGCCGGACTTGTGACAAGAGCACCAAAGCGAAACCAGCCAAGGTTGCAGCCCCGGTCACGTGCCTCGACTTTAACGAGGCGGTCGCCATCGACGTGATCTGGCTGGGCTCGGCCGACACCGAGGGTGCCACCCTGCCGGCCCTGAACGTGGTCGACTTCGCCTCTACCTACCAGCAGGTTATCCCCATGGAAGCAGCAGCCCGGGCCTTCACCCAGGGATGGATCAGTTGGGCGGGGACACCAAAGCACGTGACGGCCGATTTGGATTCCGCCTTCAAGGGCCGCTTTCTTGCTGAGATGGATGCCCGGGGCATTGCCCTCCGGTGTGTCCACTGGCAAAACGGCGTGGTAGAACGGCACGGAGCAGCCTGGAAGCAGATCTACCAGAAGGTTGTCCTCGACCGCGCCGCGCTGCTGGAGGAGGTCCCCGACACGGTACTGTGGCCGCGGTCAACGAGGCGAAGAACTCCCTTCGCAACCGTTCCGGGTTCTCTCCACGACAATGGGTCTTCGGAAGCAATGGGGTTCACGATGATGATGATGATGGCACCCAGGACTTTGACCTGGCGACTCCGAACGCCAAGTTCGCCCGGCTCCAAGTCCTACGGCGGCGGCCCACAAAGCTCGAGTCCAGCAGACCCCTTACGAGCCGGGAGCACTGGTCTATTAAGAGTCTATTATTACCGACTGGCGCGCCCGGGAAAAGGGAAGAAGCCTCAGCCGATCTGGCTGGGCCCAGCCACGGTGATTGGACGAGAGGGCAGCAATTACTGGCTAGCCCGGGGTGGCCGCTGCATTCTTGCAGCACCAGAACATGTGAGGAGCGCCCACCACGAGGAGGTCTCCGAGATGCTCAGGACCAAGATGGCCCTCGCCCAGGTGCAGAAACTTCTCAGGGAGTGTGACGAGATGGAGGTCGAGGAGACCGAGCAACCCAAGACGGAGCCCAGCGAGGAGGTTGCCATGGAGGCGGAAGATGAGCTAGTGCCGGCCGGCCCGTGACGGACTTCGACCGGCGCATGGCAACCGCGCAGGCGAGAGAGGGCGAACTAGAGAGCGCCCGGCGGAGGAGGGCGCTACTGGACGATGCCCCACACGTCATCAAGAAGGCCAGGATGGGCGAAGCCGGGGACTCAACGGCTGAAGAGCTCGGAGGCACTGACGTGGAGATGCCCGAGACACAAGCCGCAGCATCCGCCAGCGGCCCGCGGGAGCCCGGGCAGAGCGCTATGATGGTGGCCCGAAGGTGCTCGGAGTGAGGGAAGGAGAAGCAGCTGGAGAAGGAGATCCCATGGTCCATGATCCCGCCCGACGAGCGCCCCGAGTACCAGAAGGCAGAGGCCACACAATGGGAGGAACACCTCAAGTACGGCGCGGTCCGCCCGCTCAGCCTGGAGGAGTCGGAGAAGGTGCGCCGGACCATACCGACAGAACGCATACTTCGGGCGAGGTTTGCCTACAAGGACAAGCACCACGCTCGTCGCAAGCTGGAACCCGGGCTGCCGCCCAAGGCCAAGGGGTGGACGCGCCGACAGCCAGCCGACAAAGCATTTTGCTGGCGATGCAGCTGGGTCTCAGCCGGCATTGCGCGGCCGCCATTGGAGACATTCGTGCCGCCTTCTTGAATGGCATCCCAGCACCGCGCGACCTCTACTTCGAGCAGCCCAAGCGCGGGATACCGTCCATGCCTTGGTGGAAATCCTGAAAGGAGTCTTTGGCCTGGCTACGAGCCCGAAGTTGTGGTGGATGAAGCTGTCCTCCGAGCTCAAGGACGTGACCCTACACGACGGCACCGAGACGGTCGAGATCATCCAAAATGAGATCGATCCGTGCATCTTTATGATGGTCGGGAAGGACAGCGGCGAGGTGAAGGGAGTGATCCTTACCCACGTCGACGACCTGTTGCTCCTTTGCGAGAAGCGACTGATGAAGCCGCTGCAGCAAGCCCTGAGCTCTCGCTTTCCTGTGGAGGACTGGCAGGACAACTCCTTTGAGTACCTGGGGTGCCACTACGACTTCGGCGACAACGAGGTCGTGATTTCCCAGGAGAAATACGCTGAGGCACGGGTGGAACCAGTGCACTTGATCCAAGGACAACCTGACGAAGAAGACGCCACCCTGGAGCAGCGCGAGGAGAACCGCACGGCGATTGGTAGCCTTTCCTGGTTGGCTAAGCAGACTCGCCCAGACCTCCAGTTCGGGGTCTCGCAGTGCCAAAGGGCACAAAACAATCCCAAAGTGGCGGACCTCAAGGAGACGAACCGTCTTGTCCGGGAAGCCAAGAAGTACAAGGAGAAGGGCCTCACCCTGCGCTACATTGTCGAGCCCGCGCTCTACGGCTTCCACGACGCGGCCTGGGGCAACGTGGAGGACCCCAGTCGCGAGGCCGATGACCAAGACTGGTTGGGTGACCACAAGCTGGCGTCTCAACTAGCACATGTGGTCTTGGCCGCAGGGAAGGGCGCAGCACATGGCGAGCAATCCGACTTCAGCGTCTTGGAATGGGAGTCAGAAGCGAGCTCCCGGGTGTGCCGCTCTACCTTTGCAGGAGAGACCATGTCGTGCTGCGAGGCTATGGAAAACCATGGAAAACCTGCTGTTCCTACGGTCGCTCTTGGCGTCGTTGAAGGGTGGCCCAAGGGCAGATCGCAGAGCGGTGGAGGCCGGCATCGACATCCACCTCTTCACGGACTGCAAGAGCCTCTACGACCACCTCCACAGGGAGGGCACGCCGAAGGCCCCAGCGGACAAGCGCCTAGCGGTGGACTTGGCCGATCTTCGCCAGACGCTCATGAAGCAGGGGACGGCCCAGTGGAAGAAGCACCACGGGGAAGATGCTCGACACGCTCCGGAGCGCCCCTGTCGACCACCGATCCACTGGGTGCCCACCGAGGAGCAGCTTGCCGATTTCCTTACGAAGAAGATGAAAGCAGAGGCCTGGTGGCAGACCCTCGAGCGCGGGCACATACGGCTCCCCCTGAAAGACCGGCGAAACAGCAACACTTGAGAAGTGGAGCAGGGCCCGTCTAGAAGAGTTTTTGTAATTTTGGAGGCATGTAAGTGCACAGCATCTTTTCTGTACATGTGCGTTGCGGTGTGCGAGCATCCTCCTGAGCCTGTGATCTCTCCGCGACATGAAGGCACAAGGATCTGTGAGTCAGCGGAAAAGGCGTGACTGCGTCACTGCCGCATGTGTTCGCAGAGTAGCAACTTCTGCACATGGGTTTAATGGTTCGAAGGCAATGGCATGAGACTTCCGGCATGGCGGCATGCAGTCCAGCCGTCACAGTCCACTCTTACAAACGAGCTCAAAATACATGCAGCTGGATGAACAGAGATTTCTAGGGTTTTTTCAATCAAGTGTGCAGCCTCAAATAGCAGGGAATCGTGGAGCATTCCTTAAAACTTTGTGAGTTGAAATCTCAGAAGCTGTATCAAGTGGCTTGCCAGCGACTAGACGCCAACGCAGACCACATGCGGTTGAATAATTGAAACTGCTACCTGATCCTGCGACGACGACGAGAAATGAGGTGAATTTGGCAAGGGCTTGCTTATGTGTTGGTTTCGGCAAGAAACGTCAAAAAGGGTCCTGGAGATCACAGTTTCTCGGATCCTCTCGGAGATGCAGGCAGCAAGGAACAGAGAGGGCATGAAACCTCCAGTTGATTCGACTTGCAGGGGCTGTAGGAAGTCGTTGCGCATTTTACAGGATCGGCTCATAGGCAAAGTAATTAGGGTTCATAGAACCGACCAGCGCATAGGTTATGGATGGGATACGAGCAAGATGATGTCGTGGTGGTTGTGCGGATTCAATCCAAGGCGTGCAGGGCCTTTTGCAAAAGGCCTATAGGTCTGATTGAACTTAAGACTATATGATGTGCACATGTTCTACGCGCCGCCAGCTTTGGATTAATAGGGAGACGTGTGCAGACCCATGAATCAGGATCGGAACGGTTTCGATAGAGTCATTTGGGGCACTTTGCACATGTCGTGATTTGGACGCGCGGTGGCTGTGTGGGAACTGCATCATCAGCAGTGTAATGGGGGCACCAAGCCGGATGACGGTAAGGATTGCCATCGCCGAGACAAGAGAGCTGTAGGGTACGACTAGGCTTGAATAGGGGTTTTGTATGGCCTTCTGTAGGCAATGCGTACTCAGACAGTACGCGGCCTACCTGTTTTACTTTTGGAGAGCGTACTGGTGTTTTTTCTACCCTCAACCTAAGCTCCCATGGCAAAAACTGCATGATGATTCGGAGTACTTTCACGCAAAATTTGACCGGTTTGTGAAGAACTGTATGTATGTAAAACACATTGGAGTTTGGTCCGGAAAGAGCGTCGTTTTGGGGTGTTTTTGCGTGCACAGATAGAAAGAGAGAGATATACATATATATATATATACACACACACACACTCACACACACGCACAGACACATCAGCAGACGAATAGATGGACAGATGCAAAGAGAAGGACAGAGAACACGCAGACGACGGCTCAACAAAAGGAGCGTGCTGCCTGTTCTGAATTCTATAGCTTCGCAAACGAAAGCCGATTGTCCAGATAGCTTGCACACAGCGGAATCGCGGTCTCGTTACGTTCATGTAAAGGGGCCGCACTTGCCTTCCCACGGCTTGTGCGACTTTAGGTTAAATTCCTGCTTCAACGTATGTTCACCTCGTCGGGGATGTTATAGAACCCTTGACCCCCGACCTCGACAGCTTCGATGCCCACATCCCTTCACGTATCGTCGAAGCCCAGGTTGAACTTCATGTGGTTTCGTGGGCCGAACGCATCTTGGGAGCATTCAACCAGCGGTGTATAGAACCTGCTTTTGTTGCTCTCATGGTTGAACTTGTTATGATGGTAGCCATGGCAGAATTTATTAGTATGCAGCTGCGTTCTTCGACTGCTCTGTATAATGGTGTCGGCAGGGGCTTTGGCAAACAAACGGCGGGTGACAGCGCGAAGGATACTAAGACGGTGCCACAGCACGTGTAGAAGGGCCGACCTAGATGCCACCCGACCGTAAGGGCAACTTAAGACGCCAGCACTTACTTAGCGTAGGTTGCAACTGGCCTGCCCAGTGAAATCACTGGCAGGACAGAGCGATGTGCGAAGTAGCTGACATGAAGTTGGTGTATCCACAGTTGCTCCTCTTGCCACATGCCCGGGGCTGGTGAAGACTTGTTGCAGAGCGGGTCCCAACACTGTTGGCAAACTTGCCACGAAGCTTATACTCGTAGCTTTCCATGCTTTCACTGTTTCAACCACCTCATTGCTATTCGTATTATCGCGCACTATTGCAGCCCCAAAGCAGTTGCGAGGTGAGGTCATCGAGCGTGCCCTTTCTCTTTTGGGCCTGCTGACGCACTTCAAGAGCATTGCGGGTGTACAGCAATTAGGTTCGCCGGGCACATGTTGTGTTTCGGGTTCAAGCGACTGGACCCTGCCTCCAGGCGAGCACAGTGGCAAAGCAGCTTTCATCCAGAACCTCGTCTCGGAGAAAAGCTTAAAGCGACACCAGGCGACTGAACAGCTTGAAAGTCCTGACCTGAAGTACCACAGGCAGCACGAGCCGCTGGTTATCAATGAGTATTCTAGGGCGGACTATGCGTGATCCCCTCTCTTATGGAGGTCTTGTTCATTGACGACCAGCAGAAAAACGTGGACGCTGTTGCAGAGGTGTGCCTGACGCACAAGACCAGGCGGAACACTGTGTTAGACCATGTTTGCATGGGTGCCTGCACCTGGTTCGCTCCAGGGGCCGTGGGTTGACCACAACGGAGATGGACAGCATCGTGCAGCAGGTGATTGCATGTGCATGAGTACGTCCACAAGCTTGCCTGCAATGCATCTTCAGCGACACAAGAGGGCCAACGCCGCGGCATGCGAGACATGGCCCTGCTCACCAGGCCACAGCTACTACAAACGACGTGGACCGGCAGCAAAATGGCTGTCTCACTGCACGCCAGCTGAATAGGGTCTGGACACGAGTGAATCCGCTCTTCCAGCTCGCTATACTGTCGCCAGCCTGTGACAGCAGCCCTTTCCGGCAGATGCCCAAAGTGGGGAAGCTTCATGAGCAGGGCATGCTAAGACAACAGCGTCGTGCATGTGGAAGACAGCTAGACTCATTGCCCTCAGCTGACCTTTTGTGCTACATCACCACGTTACTAAGTTACTACTGCATGCCGCCAAAGTCTGGACAATTGGATGCTGGCCACTCCTCAAAATGAAGTCATGGCCATGGCGGACCAGGAGGCGCTAATTGACCCTCCTAGAGAAGTCTCCTCAAAGGGACAGCCCGGCACTCCTGCAGATTGCTTCGGCTTTCGGAGATGCTGGAACTTCAGTCTGCGCGATTTAATTGCAGGGTCTGATGACTTACTTTTTGCCCAAAAAGTTGTCATTTGCTTGTGTCATGATTGTCATGTGGGCCCTCTTTGCTCGGGTCTCCTCGTCCTCTTCGACTACGCCGCCCGCAACGACGACCACTACCACTCAGTATTGCTTCTGCTACTCAGGATTCTGACTATCATCAGCAACTAGTTACCTCGCATCAAGTCACGAGTTGCACTGCTTCTGTGCCGCTGTGTTGGACGGCTTGTGCTGTACCACCGCCGGTCAGCATTCAAGGATCACACTGGAAAGTTCGGACCGTAGTCAACCAGGAAGCTGGCTGTCGAGTGATTTAGACTGTCCGGAGTCCTCAACCCTATGTGCGAGACTGCGCCAGGCAACTCTAGCGCAATGTCAGCCGTCCTCTCACTGCTGTTATGTGGTCCCGTACCCGGTGCCTCCAAGCGTCTCACCTTTCAGCCTTTCAGCGTCAGTAAGGCTGCAAAGAGGGAGACATGTGCAAATCTGCGGGGCCCCCAGGAAAGCAAAGCTAGAACATTGGATGCAACATGGGTGCAACATTCTGCATGTTTTGCTCTGCTTGAGGATTTCAAGTCTGGCGATGCGCCTGACAGGATTCAGATTCAGATTGCTTCTGCGTCGGTCGCTCAGCATGTCGTGCGGATAGTCTGTCGAATGTACGATCGCACCCTTCCGTGGCTGGCACGCAAGGAGCAAGTCAACCCGTTCCGCAAGCACAGTGCATTCGGACCGTGCCGCCTCAACTGGCTTGTTTTTCTATTCGCCTTAGATGCGGAACTTCTCTGAGTGTGTGCATCCGCAAATTGCTGCATGGAGTTGTACCTGCGATGTGTCGTTAGCGCCGGCTTCGGAGGTACCACGTCCGGCACATCTCAGGCGCCTGAACAGTAGAATCTGTTCTTTGCCCTTCGGCGGCGATCTTCCCAACTGTTCAACATAATCATAGCTCAGCTCAAGCGAACTGGTTTGCAGGTCGCTGATCTTGACGAGATCGAGCAACGAGTGCTGATGTCTCGGCATGATGCTTTCCTTCTTTTGAAATTGTAGCTGGATCCGCACAGACCGCCTAGTTTCTTAGGTCACATCTCGTCCAAAATCTATGTGAGGAGGAGGCAGCAGCTCTGGACGGCTGCTCAGACATTCGATCTCGCTCTTCTGAAACTGGCCGGAGGGGGGGGGGCATAGATGAACGTGCATCGTTGCATCGTGATAGTGAAAGCCGAATGCTGTGTAATCCAAGAGTGCGAAATCCTGTAATCCAAGGTCGTGTGCCATGTCAAGGGCAACATGTACAAGATTAATGGACGCAGGGTGAGGCCGTGACAAGCATGCTACGTGTAGGGATTGTTGTGAGCTTCTCGGTACCCCCCTCCTTCTTGAGTCCTGTTTGATAGCAGCTGCAGAGGTTGTCGATATCACGCAGAGCGGTGGTGATGGTACAGGAGGAGCTTCGGCGGCATGCGGAGAGTGGTGAAATATGTATAAGGATGTGTGAAGCGGTTTCGAAGATTGGCATCGCACAGACTGCACAGGGATAAATGCTGACCAACAGCCTAGAATCGAACCTAGAAGTAGCAACATATCCAATGTATGTAAGGAGCAGAAGATGCCGTTTGCTGCCTTTG